ACTTACAATAAAGTAATACTTACTTGCGAAAGATTGTTGCTGCTACACTGGCATCGACAGCACTCAAGGGATCATCAAATAAGTAGATATCTGCATCTCGATAAATAGATCTGTGAAATATAAATACAAGAAAAATATACAGCAATAGAAAAATTTCAGATTCTATGAATAAGATTAACTCACCTTGCAAGATTGACTCTTGCTCGTTGACCTCCACTCAAACCCACTCCTCTTTCACCAACCAGCGTTTTATCACCATATGGTAATATATCAACATCTCGTTGAAGAGCTGTCACTTCAAGAACTTTTTTGTATCTTTTCTCATCAAATTCTTGGCCAAAAGTAATATTATCACGAATAGAGGCATTCCAAGTCCATGATTCTTGTGAGGCATATGATAATGTACCATTAACATCGATAGACCCACTTTTGATGATTATCTCTTTCATAATTGCCAGAAGTAAAGATGATTTTCCTGTGCCAACAGAACCAACTACTAAAGCCAATTCTCCACTTTGTACGTTCATCGAAATTCCATCGAGAGTAGGTTCTTCATCACTTGAATCCCATGTTGCGACTAAATTACTCAATTTAAGGTAATTATTATTATTATTATTTTCTTTGGTGTTTAGCGATTTATGTATATCGTTGGATGTCAAATCCAGTGCTTTTTTTTCTTTAAGTAACAAAAATTCCTGAAAAAAAGTAAATTCTAAGAATTATCGTTCAAGATTTTATCCACACTGATGACTCACAGTTAGACGTCTACATGAAACAAGCGATTCAGACATATATGAAACTCCTTGAGGAAATGAGTGTGTCAATGAGACTCTGAGTGAATTGAAAAAGGCTTGAGTTACGAAAACGTTTTTTGCTGTTAAATTGTGTCCGGTTAACACAAAGGTTATTAAAACAGCAAAAAGAATAGTTTTCGTTGTTACGAACACCAGAGTTAAATTGATAGCTCGCAGTATGAATGATTTACGAATTTGCATAATTTCGGATCTGAAATAGTAAAGAAACATAAAAATATTTTTATAAATTTGAATATATAAGTTAATGCTCATTAGATAGCATATGGATTTATCAATCTCCATGCTTACTTTCGTATTTTGGCAACCATATCAGCAAAAGGCTTTTCCCAAGCATACAGTTTGATAACCTTCATTCCACCAATAATTTCTCCCATTAACTTGATTCTTTGGTCAGTCCATCTAGCAGTGACTCGTCTAACAGCACCAAAGGACTTGCCGATGTATGCTTGTAATGGTACAAAGGCTATCAATAAAATGAGACCAATGACATATGGATAACCAAGACTATAGAGAAGTATAACCGAAATTACGATTGTCTCGATGGGCGCCAAGATCAAGGAATGAGCATGCATAGCACACTTGAAAAATTACAATGAAACAACTGAAGTGTTAGGATTATTTGCAAATTTTAAATTCTGTGACTTTACCTCATCAAATTTGGTTACATCATTCGACATCAAGTTTATAATGTTTCCCACTTTATTGTTGTGTAAAGCTGATTTACTGAGTACGAATGTCTTCTCCATCAATAAACTTTGAACAGCTATTCTTACTCTCATCCCGATTCGAAGTATGAACAGCAACCAGGCATGGTGACTGATTAAAAACAACATTGAACACAAGCAAAAAGCCGCAGCAATATAATAGATGTCATATCCCTGAGTAAAGGCTATACCAGCGAAATAGTCCAAAATGGCTCCAAGTAGAAAGGGTTGAGCTATCTTAAGTATAAGTTGCTGGTGAAAAATGGAGACAAATCAAGAAAAAATCATTAAAAACGATAAAGTTAACAATAAGCTGTAACTTACCTCATAACCAGTAATAACAAGAGACGAAATAATGTATTGTGGACCAAAGGCTCTCAATATTGCTTTAGCCAGACTTGGTTTGTTTTTCTTTAACTCTTTCAGCCATTCTCTATAAAATAAACATAACTTCTATTATTCAAGATTGACTAATTGTCTCCTTTTAAGACATTAACGAAGAAGATAGATTGACTTGGAATTTTAAAACGAGCAACAACTTGAACAGTTCATGTCTTGTAATTACATATGTCTTACATATCTGGAGCTTTATTTTCCCTCCTTTTGTTTCACTGTTACTTAAGTATACTTAAAGGTTTCATATTGCACACAGAGAAGCTCCCAGTTAGCTGTACATGTACAATGTACTGCAAATTGGTAGACATCGAGCTTTAGTTTACTAGTACAGTCGACGATCTTTCCAACTACAGTTAGTATCCATAAAAATAACCATCGAATTCAATTAAAAAAATAATTATCAGTCTTGATGTCAATTTTTGATTTGCTTTATTTAATTCAACCAAAAAGATACTCTTTGGTAATGAATGAGTTGAAACATATCATTCGATATTTGATTGAAATGAATATTTCAAATGTAACACTTTGGTAACCTTGAAATATTATTTATTTTACAATATTTAGCAGACAATTTTAGGCACGCGACTGTAAATGTTATCTAAATTACTTTATCAAAAAGCGATACGATGTACTATTAATAAATAACTAGGTAGTCAGTCAGTTAACCATGAATTTAACCAGTTTTGGAAAACATGGATTCATCTAACGATTTGATTAAATATTATTATAATATTGTTACATTAAACATAATCATTTAACTATTGAGGTTTATTTTCAATGTTACTGATAACGATAAGATAAAACAACTGTATGAGCGCAATACTTGACTTCGTTTTAGTCTTCTTACTTTGAATTTTAATAAATTCAATCTTATCGGCATAAAAAGGAAACATCAGTAGCATGAATTGAAAATTACTTTTCCGATAACTTCAGTATTAAAATAGCTGATTAATTTTAGCCTTTCGTCATCGTATAATATTTAAATTACCTTTGAAAACAGTACAAAACAAATGAAAATAGACGAAATAATTTACCTTTTCAGTGTATCTCTCAACTGGTCTGAATGATCATAAACACTGACTTGATAAATATCCTGAAAGTCTAAATCCTTTTTCTTGAATCCAGTCTTGAAAAGAGGATAAATCCAGCTGAAGTAGATTGAAAAACAATTGAAAGACGGTTGAGAATAAATTGGTTGATGAATATTTGAAAAAATACTTACAGGATGAAAATTCTGGATAAAATATTGGCTTCATCATGTGGTAAAGGTTTAAGTTTCGAACTGGTTAACACTGTCATTGTAATATCTTTCAACGAGTTACCAACATGACTGACACAGAATTCAATTTTAATCACATATTTTTGATTGAACAACAACCATCCTTTACATTTACAATGAGCACCAACAATCAGTGATTGATATGATAGTGAATATGAGTGTCTAGTGAAGTATATGCGGGTTTGAATAATTGTAACATTAAATAATGTTTCTTTTACTACCTTTAATTGAGTCTATTTCGAAATAATCTCACATGAAAAGCAAAGAGTTAACTTTTATTACATCTTTTATCTTCCAGGTGAAGACATTAAATACTTTAAATGCTAACTTATTATTATAAATATTATATAAATAGCTATTAGAAATAATTTTTGTCAAAACTCTACGAATGTGTCTGTGAAAGCAAAGCTAATGTCGTTTGTCATACATAAATCATTCATGGGTTTGAACTTATTGGTTGAGAAAGAACAGTTTAAATGCTTCTTACTAATGAACAATCGTCTGCAAATCACTTAGATTCAATTGATGGTCGATTAAACTGGTAAAAATTGTAAAGTATACCTTCTAAACCTACGGATTTATGTAATCAAATCAGACTATTTCAACCTGTTTAAGGATTTTGATATCGCAGTTATGACTGGAATCACTGTATAAGTAAATCATCTCAAATTGAGAGATTTTCATTCTAACCCTTGAACAGAAGGCAGAAAAATTTAACTATTCTTTATGTTACTGGGTTTTTATGTTTAATTAGACTATTTATGCATTGCAATTAAAAAGATGAGTGGACCTTCCAAAATTCGCATAATTAGAAAAATGAATTGAATGGAGTTGATTCTTCGATTATTATGACAGCAGTAAACGTTGGCTGTAAGACGGACTGAGAGGAGCCTATTTCCCCCAAATAGACTAAACTTCTGTATCCAACCTGCCGAAAAATCAACTCGAATGCTGATCTTAAGGTCTGATCGGAGACATGAAATATGCATCGAAGTCTCCTGTTCCGATATCAATTACTTTGAATGTGCTAGCACAAAGATTCTTCTCCTTCAAACGAATTCCAAACTTTTCTGAAAAAAGGCGAAGAGAGAGAGTCAGCTCACGGGGTTTTGCATACCCTTGCCTCAAAAGAGCCGAAAACCCGATCCAAGTGTAACGAAAGTTACGGATATTTAAATGATGCACCATGCTAAAGCCAAATGACTAAAGTATGAATCCTTATTAGGATTTATGGAAATCTTCCTTACAAAGGCAATTCTAGGTTAAGTTAAGAGTTAGAGGAAACGCTCAATAAGACGAAAGGAAGTATTTTCACCCCATTCATATTATGGAATTGGTCTTCAATTTGATGAAATCTCCTTCTACTCGTTTTTTAATGAAAGGAAGCTAAAGATGTTAAGTTTCCTTCATAGTGAATCTAAGAGCTCTCGATCTTGAAGGACACGACTTAATCGAGATTAACAAGGGTAAGGTTTTTATTTTTAATTGTTAATACTTGTTTTCATACATTTTTATATGTCCATTAGGTTCCATGTTTGCGAAAGATCGAATTGTGATGGCAAACTTTTAACAAAACCTTTTAAACTTATCAAAGCGATTTAGAAGGAATCAACGTTAAATTTGGATACCCAGAATGCGAAGATCACAGCCCTAGGAACTTGCAATGAGTCTTCGCTAATAATTACAGTATCCCAATTTGCGAAGGGAAATACTTTTGATTGTATCCATCAAAACGACTGACATTATCAATATTGATCAATTGATTTTTCTTTACTGCTCGCTGGATTGACTTGATTCGAAAGATAATTTGATTGAATAAATACGTTTATTATTTCAATTGATCTATCTACAATCTATGGTATATGCAATGGCTACTCAATGATTTTTTGGTTGACTTGATTTTATGTTGTGATCGTTAATTAATTGAAATGAGAAAATAACTAAAGAACTACGAATTTACGAATTCAGAAACTATCAGTTATTTTCATCATTTTCATCATTTTCATTATGATTCTCTTCGTGATGTTCACTCAATACATTTCCAGAGTAAGCCTCCGCTGCCATTTTGTACAGCCTTGCACTCATAGATTTACCAGTTTGAGCTACAAGTTTAGAGAAAAGAGAAGTTTTTCTCTGAAGCAGATTATATGGAACTTCAAATTCTTCGACTTTACCAGCATCAAGAACCTGTAAATATAAATGGCTTCAATTAAAAACAATGAACCAGTTATGAGTTATTTACAAATTAACTTACAAGAACACGACTAGAGTCGATAATTGTGTTCAGTCGATGAGCAATCGTCAACACAGTACAATGAGAAAATTTAGTTCGAATTGTATTCTGAATAAGTGAATCTGTTTTGTGATCTACATTTGCTGTTGCTTCATCAATAACTAAAACCTTATTATTACGAAGTAAAGCTCGTGCCAGACAAATCAGTTGTCTCTGTCCAACAGAAAAGTTTGATCCACCTTCCAGAATCTCATGATCAAGATGATCATGTAACTCCAAAACAGTTTCCTTTAGTTGAACATCATCAAGAGCTTCCCACAATTCAGCATCTTTATGTTCAGTAAATGGGTCTAAGTTGGTTCGAACAGTTCCAGCAAATAAAATTGGTTCTTGAGGAATGATCGATACTTTTCTCCTTAAATCATGAAGACCAATTTCTTGAATATTAATTCCATCGATTTCAAGGGAACCATCGAATTCAACAATTCGGAATAGACATGATAAAAGTGAACTTTTTCCAGCTCCAGTTCTTCCAACAACACCAATTTTCTCACCAGAGTGAATGGTTATTGTTATATTTTCAAGTGTGGGTTTAGGCGCTGTTGGATATTGAAGAGTTAAATGGTCAAATTTGATTAATCCCTTAGTTGGCCATTCTGGTGGTGGCCTCTTTTCAGTTTCTAATTCAGCTTCCAAAGGTAAAGTTGTGTATTCAACAATACGTTCGACTGAGGTCATTTGACTTTCAAACTCAGTTGACTGTCGGATGAAATATTGCATTAATCCCATCAACCCAAAGGCATTGGATAAAGCCATACCAGCATCGCCAGCAGGAATCACTGTGTGAATAAAAAAGACAAACTATTTAATTTCAGTTCAACATTCAATTTAATTCAAAAAGTGTTCATTCATTTATATTTAAATTGGATGAAAAGCCATCATGAGGGCAGATTTGTGTATTCAGAAGCATTACATAACATGTAAAATTCCATCGCAAATTTTCTGATATTTCTGAATTAAGCTTACTTATCTTCCACTATATAATAATAATGTATCGAGTTTTGTACTTTAAAGGTTGATGACAGAAGAAATTTTCTAGTACACACAGTTTTGCCAGGCACACAAAAGTAAGAATTGTTTAACTGTGAGGTATACGGAAATCAACTTACAGTTCGCTGAAGCGATGAGCGCAAAAGTTGTTATTGTCGTATAAAAAACACATGTCCAATCAATTAACATGCCAAGAGTTCGAGAGGCACAAAGAAAAAGGAACCAAGTTGCTGAATGATTGTTCAAAATCACTCGAAATTGATCAGTGAACATTCCTTCCGTTCCAAAAGCTCGAATTGTTGGTAAACCGTCAATTGTAGTTGAGATGTGAGAATAAACTGGACTACGAGCTGAAGAATAAAATAAAATCATAAATTATTATGTTCATGAGTTTCAAAGTTGGTACAAAATTTTACATATAATTTACAATCTATTAATAGTAAATAGTAAATACTTTGTCACACACAGAAACACAGTATAAAATGTGCAAAACAACTTTAGGTTAGAGAGAAACGAATAGACATGAATGTATACTTACTGACTCCTTCAAGTCGTTTAATCGCTTGTCCAGTAGGGATATAAATAGTTCGCCATGTACATGCGAGTATTAAAAGTATGATTGCAGGGAAGATGAGGTACCATGAAACATAACCAACAGTTATTAAAATTCCTGCCACTTGGAATGATGTCTGAATGATGAAAAATTCAAAATTAGCCAAAACACTTAGAATACGACTGAGAGATATTATTCTGATCTAAAAGTTTAACATCTCACCATTAACAACGTATAAGCATTGAGAGGAAGAAGCTCGTCAATAATTCCCAGATCTCGAGAAAAACGATTCAATATTCGACCTAAACATAAAATAAGAATATTAAGATTATCTTATTCTTTCAATAACTCAAAAAGACTTACCAATCGGTTGACTTTCGAATAAAGCCATCGGAGATCGTAAGACTCTAAAGAAGATTGAATTGTGCAAATTGATTGATGATCGATTGCACATGTAGAAGAAGATCAGTGAACGAGCCAAAGTAGTTATGAGAAGAGAAACAATGAAAGCCGAATAAATAATCGAGTTGAAAGATATGTCTATATTTTGATTACTATCGGTGGTTGTTTGATTTGTGTTATTTGAATATTCATTTATGGTTCCATCAGTGATTATTGTTTGAAATTGAACCTCGTTTGTCCATTTAGATAACCAAAGATCAGTTCCATTGAACAGAATTTGTGAAAGAAAGTTTAAAATCACGCAAGTAATGATTAGAATACTATTAGCTCCAGCTTTAATGTATGCCCAATAGACCCAAGAATCAACTCCACCAGATTTTTTTGTTTCTTCAGCAATTCGAGGTTCATCAAGAATAACTTGATCATCAAATGAATCTGCAATTTCTGATGCTACTGACACTGTTGAAACAGACGAATCAGATCTTTCAAGTTTCTTTCTTTCTTGCACTGGTTTAGCTGAAGCACCTTTTCCTGGTAAGTTTTGACTCAGTGCTAAACCAAGATCCATAGGCCCTTGATCAAGATCTGATATATTGTCGTAAAATATTGATTTATCTTCTGATATAAATAAAACTTTATCAGCATTTCTTAAAAATTGTATTTGGTGTGTAACTAAAATTACGACCTTCTCTTTGAGAAATTCTTTGAAACACCTAAATAATAAAAATAAATGAACAAATTATAGATTCCTTCAATATGAAATCAGAACATTGTTTCTGTGCTCACTTTTGGAAGATTGTTGCTGCTACACTGGCATCGACGGCACTCAAGGGATCATCGAATAAGTAGATATCAGCATCTCGATAAATAGATCTGTGAAATATAAATACAAGAAAAATTGTAATAAGATTAAGATATATTTAAGATTTAATAAATAAGACAGACTTACCTTGCGAGATTGACTCTTGCTCGTTGACCTCCACTCAAACCCACTCCTCTTTCACCGACCAGCGTTTTATCACCATATGGTAGTATATCAACATCACGTTGAAGAGCTGTAACTTCAAGAACTTTTTTGTATCTTTTTTCATCAAATTCTTGGCCAAAAGTAATATTATCACGAATAGAGGCATTCCAAGTCCATGATTCTTGTGATGCATATGATAATGTGCCGTTTACATCGATAGACCCACTTTTGATTATTATCTCTTTCATAATTGCCAGAAGTAAAGATGATTTTCCTGTGCCAACAGAACCAACTACTAAAGCCAATTCTCCACTTTGTACGTTCATCGAAATTCCATCGAGAGTAGGTTCTTCATCACTTGAGTCCCATGTTGCGACTAAATTACTCAATTTAAGGTACTTCTTATTTCTATCTTTAATACTAAAAGATCTTTGTGCACTGTTGGAGGTTAAATCCAATGCTTTTTTCTCTTCAAGCAACAAGAAGTCCTAGAAAAGAGTAAGTTTTTAAATTATTATAATTAATATAATTCAATTTTTGGTCTATATTGACAACTCACAGTTAGACGTCTACATGACACCAGTGCTTCCGATATATTTGAAACGCCTTGAGGAAATAGGTTAGTCAATGAGAGTCGGAGTGAATTGAAAAAGGCTTGAGTTACGAAAACGTTTTTAGCGGTTAAATTGTGTCCAGTTAACACATAAGTTATAAAAACAGCAAAAAGGATAGTTTTTGTTGTTACAAACATCAGTGTGAAATTAATTGCCCTCAGTATGAATGATTTACGAATTTGCATAATTTCGGATCTAAAATAATAAAGAAACATGAAAAAGTATAAATAAATTAGTAAAGATACAAGTTAATGCTCATTAGATAGCATATGGATTTATCAATCTCCATGCTTACTTTCGTATTTTGGCAACCATATCAGCAAAAGGCTTTTCCCAAGCATACAGTTTGATAACCTTCATTCCTCCAATAATTTCTCCCATTAACTTGATTCTTTGGTCAGTCCATCTAGCAGTGACTCGTCTAACAGCACCAAAGGACTTGCCGATATATGCTTGTAATGGTACAAAGGATATCAATAAAATGAGACCAATGACATATGGATAACCAAGACTATAGAAGAGTATAATTGAAATGACGAGGGCTTCAAGGGGAGCCATGAAAACAGAATGAGCATACATGGCACACTACAATATTAATAAAAGGTTGCAGAATTAGAATAATTGTTTATTAATACAAAATTTCAATTCTGTGACTTTACCTCATCAAATTTGGTTACATCATTTGACATCAAGTTTATAATGTTTCCCACTTTATTGTTGTGTAAAGCTGATTTACTGAGTACGAATGTCTTCTCCATGAGTAAGCTTTGAACAGCTATTCTTACTCTCATCCCGAGTCGAAGAATGAACAGCAACCAGGCATGGTGACTGATTAAAAACAACATGGAACACAAGCAAAAGGCTGCAGCAATATAATAGATGTCATATCCCTCAGTAAAGGCAATACCAGCGAAATAGTCCAAAATGGCTCCGAGTAGAAAAGGTTGAGATATTTTAAGTATGAGTTGCTGGTGAAAAACGGAAGAAAATCAAGAGAAGAATTTTTTATTCGTCATTTGAATCAGAAGGTTCAACAGTGAATTTTCAGAGCAAAAGGCTGTAACTTACCTCATAACCAGTAATGACAAGAGACGAAATAATGTATTGTGGACCAAAAGATCTCAATATTGCTTTAGCCAAACTTGGTTTTTTTTTCTTTAACTCTTTCAGCCATTCTCTATGGAACAAATATAATTAATATCATTTAATCTAATATTAACCAATTTAAACATCTTTTAAGACAAGAATTACATAAGACACTCTTTACAATTTTATGCGTATGTAATGCATCTAACAAGTAACAGCTAACAAGTAAGGCAAACAGCTCATGTCTTGTGAATATATTTTGGCGCCTTATTTTTTCTCTTATCTCATCTGATTAATTTTCATTTAATTGCTACTTAAAGTACATTATGTCATAAAAATTAGCAGATATACTGTTTAATTTGTCTTGTGATTGCTCGTTAAGCTCTTTTCATTAAGAAATGAACATAAAAATTTCAAAACTCGCTGGTTAGTCTATTCTAGGTAATTGTCAGTTAACAGTGAAGTTAACCAATTTTGAAAAATATGAACTTATCTAACTTCCTATTAAAACTGATGTCATTGAACACAGTGGGTAAAATATTAAAATAGATTTTCCATGTTACTGATAACAACCAGATTAAACTAACTATGAGACTATATGAACATATTACTTGACTTCATTTGAGTCTTCATGCTTTGAACCAAATTTTAATCTACGCGATTAGAGTTATTAAAAAGGAAACATCAATAGCATGCATTGAAAATTGATTTTCCGAGAACTTCAATATTGTAATAGTAAAGATTAGTTTTAGTGAAAACAGACAAAAATAGAAAAATAATTTACCTTTTTAGTTTATCTCTCAACTGGTCTGAATGATCATGAACACTGACTTGATAGATATCTTGAAAGTCTAAATCCTTTTTCTTGAATCCAGTCTTGAAAAGAGGATAAATCCAGCTGAAGTAGATTGAAAAACAATTGAAAGACGGTTAAGATTAAATTGACTGATGAATGATTTAAAAATACTTACAGAATGAAAATCTTGGAGAAAATGTTGACATTATCATGGGGAAAAGGTTTAGGTTTTAAATTGGTTAACACTGTCATTGTAATATCTTTCAATACGTTAACATAACTGAATATTTTGATTTAGCAACCAGAATTGAACGAGTAGCACTCAGCGATTGATGTGATAGTGGCTGCGAGTATCTAGTGAAGTAGTGTATTTGGGTTTGTATAAATAGCAGCATTAAATGATGTTTACTTTTACTACCTTCAATTGAGTATATTTTGACATAAATCTCGAATCTCGTCCAAAGTAGCAAATTTTATCCATTTTTTATTACATCTTTTAGCTTCCAGGTGATGGCAATAAATGTTTTTAATGTTAAACATATCAAATGGTGATCAACAATAAATGAAGAAGATTATTTCGAGCAAGTGTCGCGAATGTATCCATGAAGGCTAATTAAACTGATTAAATTGTATAAAAGTATAAGTCCCAAGTTTTGAAAGCAGTCAGTGTATTTTAATTTGATTTAGCATTTCAATTCTCATAATTATCATCATAAATTGCTGGAAAAGGTTGATTTAATGTACCATTTGAAACATCTTGAAACACATGATAAATGCTACTTGTTTTTTTTTTGGAATGACGTCCATAGCTCGTCAATCGGAATGAATCTCGACAAGCAACTCAATTCTTGATTGGTCAGTATTTAGGTTTGTGATCAGTGATCACTCTTTCGGTTATTATTCACAGGCAATCCACATTGATAGGATCCAAAATCAAAGTGAAACAAAACCTCTTCTTAAAATGGCCAATAAGTGACATTTAATATTTGACTAGAATTTGATTATCAATTCGTGATTTGCTGCATGGAAAAATACTTGGAAGGATCTAATCTAAGCATGATTTGAGGAATCACAAAAACTTGAAGATAGTTGAAGGATTTTACAATGTATTTAGAATAAGGTTAGAATCGAGGAAATAAGATATGAATATGAATTCGAATTCGCCAACTTTACTGCGATAATTGACCAGTTTTTTAAGACTAACCACAAATATTAGTAAACAAATTAGATAATTATTTCGAAGTATATGCCAAAAGTTTCATAAACATAAATATTCAAACAATTATCTTTATCATTCATGAATTTTAGACATTAACTGGTAGTTAGATATCTAACGTAAGAGGCCCTTTGAATTATCATTCCCCTTGAAATGATCTGAAGCAAGCTAATATGAATTTTCATATGTGACAGCTTTTTAGAACTACAATTCCTGACTGAATCTTCTTTCCTTAATCTAACCAGGATATAATTCAAAAATGTGAAACAATTGAAAATAAGACAAAACCAAATTGAGTATAAGTTTTTATTAATGTGTTCTAGTTTTGAATAAAGTGTTACAGTAATTTCTCGGTTAATGCATATACAGTAAATCCACACTTTTTCGATATTTTTGGAGGTACTCCATCTATTGGAATAATTAATACTTTCTCTTAGTCTAATAGTTTTCTTTGCTTTCTTTTGTTTCTTCATTAAGTCTTTTTGATTGGTCAAATAAAAATGAAAAATTAGAAAGAAAAGTATAAGAGAAAGTATTAATTATTCCAATAGATGGAGTACCTCCAAAAATATCGAAAAAGTGTGGATTTACTGTACTTGGTTAATGCATAAAAGTTAATTGCTCATGCTCCAGTTTAATTTTCAATGGAAATTTAATGAAAAAACAACGCCACCTTGCTGATTTTTCGTAGAAGCTTAACCCACATTTTTATGCATTAACCGAGAAATTACTGTATATTGATTCAAAAAGTTAATTTCTTTATTTGGACAAGATTACTGAGTTACATTTATTTGACAATTTTTAAAGATTATTTAACATCCAAAAAAAATGTAAAGAGGATATATTATAACCTGAAAGCGATAAACTGGTGACCTTTCTTTCGTTATGTCAGAAGAAAGTATCTTTTGATTGTATCCATCAAAACGACTGACATTATCAATATTGATCAATTGATTTTTCTTTACTGCTCGCTGGATTGACTTGATTCGAAAGATAATTTGATTGAATAAATACGTTTATTATTTCAATTGATCTATCTACAATCTATGGTATATGCAATGGCTACTCAATGATTTTTTGGTTGACTTGATTTTATGTTGTGATCGTTAATTAATTGAAATGAGAAAATAACTAAAGAACTACGAATTTACGAATTCAGAAACTATCAGTTATTTTCATCATTTTCATCATTTTCATTATGATTCTCTTCGTGATATTCACTCAATACATTTGCAGAGTAAGCCTCCGCTGCCATTTTGTACAGCCTTGCACTCATAGATTTACCAGTTTGAGCTACAAGTTTAGAGAAAAGAGATGTTTTTCTCTGAAGCAGATTATATGGAACTTCGAATTCTTCGACTTTACCAGCATCAAGAACCTGTAAATATAAATGGCTTCAATTAAAAACAATGAACCAGTTATGAGTTATTTACAAATTAACTTACAAGAACACGACTAGAGTCGATAATTGTTTTCAGTCGATGAGCAATCGTCAACACAGTACAATGAGAAAATTTAGTTCGAATTGTATTCTGAATAAGTGAATCTGTTTTGTGATCTACATTTGCTGTTGCTTCATCGATAAATAAAACCTTATTATTACGAAGTAAAGCTCGTGCCAGACAAATCAATTGTCTCTGTCCAACCTCTTTACAGTTTCTGATTCAACTAGTAGTAGTGTACAGGGCATTTCAGCTAATTTTCCCGTTGTTAATTGGCTATATCTTTGCTCCTGAGTGACCTAGAGGTTAGATGTTTTGTTAATGGAAATTTGGGCGATACTCAATTGTCATATTTCAAGTCAAGGTCGTTCAAGGTCGTTTTCAATTTTCAACCAATCTGAAAATTTTTTAAACTTTTAGAAAATGACC